ACAAAATACAACTCCAGCATTGCACCTCTGAGCAAGACAAGACAGCTGGATGAAGGTCAGCTGAGCAAAGACGGTGGAGACTACACCTTCTTCTGGAAGGAGAAATCAGTTCAGGACATATCCATTCATGGCATTGGTTTCACCATCAAGAATTGTCTTGGTCAACTTATGGAGCTCCCCATGGACATTAATAAACGTTATGTCTTAAGCTCAGCAACAACCAGTATATAGGTACACTACCATCATCAATGCGTACAATATGTACCCAATGCTGGGTGGTGACGATGATGTCAAAGAACAATTTACTCCAACCTTGGCTACATACTGACTAATGCTTCTCAGATCCATTATGAACATCCAGGTTGCTCCAAAACACCAAAAGCAATGATAAGGACACTCAATGCCAAATCTCTTCAAGACCCAAATTTCTTTAAGGATCACTAGCAGCGTCTCCATGGAAAGCTGTCTGTCCTGCCCACAAATGAAGGCAACATTTTAAACCACTGTCTCTATGGCCTGCACTGAACTCATTGGCTACACCACCATTGACACCAAGACTAGAACAATGAAAACAATGCCAAGTTCAGAAGAGAAGGGCTCGTTCGTCTAAGCAAAATGACACCCCATCTCAGCAGAAGAAGATGCATCAGCTCCACAAAGCCAAAGCTGAAAGGAAGATCTGGGAAATCAAAAACCAGTGGTGGCAAGATAAAGTGAAGGAGATTCAGTTGTCTACTAACATGCATAATTTTTGTCCAGGCAGTGAAAGCCATTTGCAGTCCAACTTTCCATGGCCCTACTTTCCTGTGATCACAGGATGGCTCAACACTCCTCAGAGACAATGAATCGATTCAAGCTAGATGGAAAGACCACTTTGAGGCATTCCTGAACCATGAGTCAACTGTGGTACATACCAACATCAAGCCCATTCCCCAACATCCTGAAAGGGGATCCCTCACCAGCCCTCCTATCCTAAAATTCTGGCAAGCCATCAAGGAAACTAAGAACAACAGTGCTACTGCCCTGGAGGAAATCTACAAGGATGGCAGTGAGGAACTGGTACTAAGACTTGTAACAGGGGGCCTGCTTGGGGCCGATCTCCATGTGGCCCACCCACCTGTTCTTGGGCTAACTGCCCACTTTCTCACCTGCCGTGCCTTGATCTTAAATTAATTGATAGATGTAATTAAGCGTGAGGCTGCCCATTTTCTTGCCCCGCTGCTAGGGGGCGCTATCTGCAGCTCTCTTCCTCCCCTACACTGCAGCCCAAGCCTCACAGATGGCATCTAGGTGTTCTCTTCATCACCAGCCCCACACTGGGCCCCAAATCTTCCTGATTGAAACCCCCGAGTCCTCTCATCAGGCAGCCTCATCCACCTTGATGCAGGCTATGTAGCTCCCTGAAGCCATTTTCCTTTCTTGGGTGTGGTCCTCCTGGGACCTTCAGCTACCAGCCCTGGCCCACCTCCAGGCCAGTCGGAACCCCTGGCCCTCAGCTCTCAGAAGTCCCTCGCGGTGGGCCCCTGGCTCTTTTGACCAGTCTGGTCCTGGCCCCAGCATGGGCCAGTTGAGGGTACTCTCTTGATCAGTATAGAGTCTCTAGCTCCTCATTCTCTCTAGGGGTCCACCCCCTGGGCCCTACACATAAAGGGGTAACCCATCCAGTGGTGGAGGCTAGGAGTTAAGGCACCCCGACCCATCTTTCACTGGGGTGATCACTGGCCTGGCATTTCCTGGGGGCTCCTGCACCACTGAGAGCCCTACCAGGCCACCCATTCCCAGCAGGGTGTAGTTTCAGGTCATTCCCAGGACCAGGAGCTTCCTACCATCCCCTACAGCTCCTCCCTTACCTCTGGATAAAACTCAGCAGCCCTCTGGCCAAGCAGTGTTGTTGCCTGGCCCCTTGCAGCTAAACTGGCCTATTTATATGGGCAGCCCTGAACCTAAAATGGCTGCCTTCATTAGGAACCTGGCAGCTGCCAGCTCCAGGGCCGTAAAGTGGTAGGCATACACAGTGCCCTGCCACAAGACTCCATGAATTTATTTTTCAAACTTGGAACAGTGAAGAGATCCCTGGTAACCTGAGAAATGCCAAGATAGTGACTAACTTCACAAAAAGAGATTAAGTCTGTGTGTGGTAATTATCGAGGTATTTCCCTCCTTTCCACATTAGGGAACTCCTCACTTGCATCCTCCTGAACTATCTTCTACCTCTTGCTGAGGAAGTCCTGCCAGAATCTCATTGTGGCAACTGACATGATCTTTGTTGCCCACCAGGTCCAAGAAAAGTGTAGGGAATAACATCAGACCTGTATATAGCTTTCATTGACCTTACTAAGGTCTTTGTAAGAGGCTCATAAGTAGAGATCACCCTTGAATCAGCTGATGACAGTGCAGCAGCTGAGGGAATCAGATGATTTAATGGCTCCTGGTTTTCCACTCCACTGATGTTAATGACTTTGTCCTTTTTAATGAACTTGATGGTCTACTAATCAAACTAACCTTTCATAGGGCAATTTTGCTCCTTGATGGTGGATTCTAGTCTCCAGGAAAGGGAGGATAGGGAGGAAAGGGAGGATAGTCTCCAGGAAAGCAGGAAAGGGAGGATAAGTCAACTGAAAATTAGTCTCTGTCCCTGCTCTACACAGATATAACTTTAGGAAACTCTTTTTTTTGGCCTTCATTTCATTATATTCTGGGTTGTGTTCTATAAGAAAATTATGGTATACTGCCAGTGGCTCACATCCTAAATATCCTAAACAAAGCTTCCTTGGTCTCTGCCTGAGGTGGGGGAACTGTCGCAGACACCGCCAGCACTATCAGCAGCAGGTGAGGGGGTGGTGAGCATCTGCAGGCACTGCTGGCAGAGTTGGCAGTGGCCAGTGGCAATCATGGGCCACTTGCAGATGCCACCAGCAGTGTCGGCTGCAGGGTGGCAAACAGTGACTGCCTGCAGGCATTGCCAACAGTGTCGGTGGTGCCTCTTTGCAGGAGGTGCACCACCATGCTCAGGGGGTGCACATGCACTCACGTGCACATCCTATGCATCACCCCTGACCACCACCAGCCACTGGTGTCCAGCCTCTGGTGCACCACTGGCACAGCCGGTGTGTCCAGGTGGCTCCAGCAGTGAGTGGTGGCGACCCTGAGGCAGCATCCCAGCAAGACCCTGCAGCCTCTCCCCCATATCCAGATGTTGACCCTGCAGAGACAAGAGACAGAAGTATTTTGTTAGAGATATTTCAGAGATAAGATGCTTTGCACCAGGGACCCTCCGCTGCCTGGTCTCTGATCACAGGTGCCCAGGGACCATGGTAAGCTGTCCAGGCAGAGCTGGGCCCAGGCAGCCACTGGCTGAGCCCCCCAGTCCTGCTTTCTCCCCTAGAGCTGGCAGCCCACAGGGTGCTGGCCTCAAGCAGCCTGCTTCCCCTTTCCCCTTCCCAGCTGCTGCTGCAGCTCTCCCCTTCTCTCCCTGCAAGCCATTCACTCTGCCACACTGCTGTCCAGCCCACAGTGGCCAGACTCGGAGCACATGGGACTCCTGAAAAACTGGGTTTAGGGACTGGACATGCCCCTGTCCTCCCATCAGGGGGCTTCTCTGGGGAGGCACCCTGGGGTTCCCCCCCCCCATGCTGCCGCTGTGCCTGAAGCATGCCCCTGCTATGCATGCCCTGGGCGGTATGCGATAAGCTGTTTGTGTAGGCAGAGGGGTTTCTCAACCACTGCGCCCTGCTGCTGCTGCTGCTAATCCTGCTAGGCATACCTGCACTCCTGGTTTGGGACCCTGAGGTACAATGGCGTGAGAGGCAATGATGCAGTGATGTAGGTAGCAAATTTATGCCCACTTAGTTACTGCACAGTAAGGCACATGTAAATACCTTACTGTGCAGTAACACTGTGCGTATGCTCTGACTTTACTGCCAAGTTGGAGCACACACAGTGTTACTGTGCAGTAATGCCTATACATGTAGACGCTGGTCTAAAAGCCACTTTCTTCACAGTAAATGCACATATAGACATGCCCAGGTTACATAACTTATTTCATCAGCTACTGTGGCTTCTCATTTAGCAATGAAATGAGTGTAGTTCCACAGTTTTAAGAAAGGAAGAGAAAAGGAATCCAATTGAAATGTCAAGTGGGATAGAATCAGGCAATAGAAGTGGGCCAGGGAATATTCAGCATAAGCATTCCACAACTTGATTTTAAAGTTCAATTGCAAAATCCTACTTGCAACAGTACAGCTGACTAACGATACTTATTTTAAAATTTTCCAAAATGTCCCACTAGGACTTCTACACACATAGACATTTTGACAGTTTTATCCTTAGCCTTTGCCTCAGCACCCTGCCTTTTTGGTCCCATAGATGATTTAGACTCAGCAAAGCATAAAATTGCATTCAATAACATTAACTATGAAAAAAGCTATTGTAAAGCCAGTGCCTTTTAATGTATTACTATGGGAAATAAATATGGCAGTTCTTCTGGTGTTATTCAAGATAGCATGTTATAATTTACTATGTACAATGACAACAAAAATATTCACTTAAAACCAAAAAATAAAAAATGTCCTTAGAGTTCCACACGACAAACTTCTAGATGCATTTTACAATCCCACGGATACAATTGGGTATTCAGCTTACCCAGACATTACAGTCTACACCAAATCCAGGCTGTCATCTAGTGTTTATTTTTGTTAATAAATTCACCATAGCTGATAGTGCTGAGTGCATATTTCCATCAAGCAATAATCTGCAAATTGAAAAAAATCTCAGAGGTGGGGAACCACAATGTTTAAAGCAATATGTTTTTCCAGCATATTTTAATGTTTAGATCTCTGACGCTTTCAGAAATCCCTCCATTTCAGACCTCTACAAAATAACTTTTAATACCTTCTGTTTTTAATTCCTGCCTTGTTGGCCATTAATTTGACACTAGAACCATTTTCCAGACTATATTTAATAACACACATCTGCCTTTTCTCTACTTTTTCTAATTTCAGGCTTATCAATGAATCTTTGAGGGACCAGTTACTAGTTACCATCCAGAAGACGTTTACCTACACTCGGACTCAGGCACAGCATCTCTTCATCATACTCATGGAATGCATGAAGAAGAAGGAGTTGGTATGTTAATAGTTTCTTAAGAATAAAGGGAAGTAAATGGTACTTTGTTATCATGACTGAGATTTTCAGATGCCAGCCAAGGTATTTGGCTTTCCAGTTCCCATTAAAATTAATAGCAATTGAGTATCCAAATCATCTTATTAGCTTTGAAAATATCAACCCATGTATTCCCCATCCTTTATGAATCCCTGGATTTTTTGAATGTTTTCTATTGACATTTCATCTCACTTACACATCAACATAGGTGTGTCATGAAATGTATCAGCTGGATCAATATCAAAATGACTTTTCTGTGTTATGTTTTGCCAGATGTGTTATTAGTGTCTCATGTCTTCAATATGACAGACAAAATAATACAAGATAAGCTTGGCAATGCCTGCCTTTGCACAATGCATCTTGATGTTATCGGCCAGCCATGCCATCTGCGTACACATGTGGACGCACACACAGACAACTGTCATCCACGCTGATGAGAGTTCTGCTCCTAACATTTGTTATAGCACTGCAGAAGTGCCATGAAAGGGTATCATACAGCTTTCAGAACTTTTATTACAAGTGATATATGAGAGAAAAAGAACATGGCTTGATTCTGAGACCCTAGGTTGAAGTTGAAGAGCTGTCCCTTTGAAAAATATTCTTTTTACTGGTAAATTAAGCATTGAATACCAATTTGCCATTCATACAGAATCACTTTTCAGCACCACCTTAAAAAATTGTAGGACTGAATTCTCATAGGCTTGATGTTTGACAGCCTAACTGAAATGAGATTCTTTTTAATTTTATTTTTTTCATGTAATCTTTCCTCTGAAATTGATTTTAGATTCATATCATCACAAATATATGTGCCTGCAATCCCAGGTTGTTGACAACATGCAATGTTTTGTTTAATGTAACAATTTTTAAGAGGAAGGGTACAGTCCTCTTTTTTTTTTTCAATCATGCATTTGTCATAGTGACTATCCATTTTCTCCAGCTTCATCCACATGCTGAGAAAACTGATTTCCATTTGGAAGAGCCAGCAGAAGTGAAGGCCACCTTTGAATATCCCCTTAATAATGGCTAGCAACTGTTTTATATCTATAAGCATGGGTGGATCCAGAATTGTAGAAAGGGGCATGTGGGAGAAGTGACCTGTGCTGCAGGAGTGGTTACACCCCAGTTCCCAACCTCTCTCCTGCCCCCCTCCACCAACATCAGTGTAGGCGGACCACACTACAGGAGCAGCAGCCAAGGACTTTTTTTATGTCGCTCAAGCAGATAAGAATCTTTCCTCACCTACCCACTGCTGCCGCTGCTACTCTCCCCAAATGACCCAGGGGAGGAGAGTGGGGGGCCACTCCTGCCCTATTGCGGCTAGACTGCACATGGAGCTATGCACAGCTACACACAGCAACAACAATGCTAGTAGCAGGTGGGTTCCCCTCCCTCATGCCTGTTCCTGGGCTGAGCAGAGACAAGGATTGTGCCTGCTGCTACCGCTGTCCCCAACTGAGCCCAGCTTCCCACAGAGCTTAGCTGGAGTGGGCAGGAGTGACTCTGGAGCTCCCCCTGTCCCCACCCCTGCCCTACCCCCAGGCAGCTGGAGACAGCAGAAGCAGTGGGCCAGGGACGGGTTATGCTGCTAAGCATGGAGGGGAAGGGAGAAGGGATTTGTACTTCCTTTGGGGACTTATAAAAAGTCCCCAGCTAGAATTTAATTAGAGCCTTTGATATGGGACTCTCACAAGGCTTTTGGTAAAGCCCAGATAGACTATATTAACCAGATCGCCCTGAGTAACATGCTTCTTGACACCCTTAAAAAACTCTGAATAGATTGGTGAGGCTTGAATGCCTTTTACCAAAGTCAGGTTGGCCCCTCCCCAACAGGTGCTGTTCATCCATGTAAGGGACAATCATATTTTTAGTATGGTTTCAACAGATTTCTACTATATCAGGAACAGAAGTTAGGTTCACCTTGTAGACATCCCCTAGAACCCTTTTTTAAAGAATGATGTTATATTACCTACCCTTCAGTCCTTTGGTACATAAGTTGTTTTTAGTGATAGGTTACAATTTCAAGTTTGAGTTCCTTCAGGACTTTAAGTGATGACCACCCAGTCTTGATGATTTACCACTGTTAGTTTAATCATCTCTTCTATAACCTCCTTCACTGATGCGTCAATTTGGATTAGTTCTATTAATTTGTCTCCTGGAAAGAGTGACTCTTGTTTTGGAATCTCTCCAACATTATGGATGGTGAGCACTAATGCAAAGAACTCATTTGGTTTCTCTACAATTGCCTTACCCTCCCTGAGTGCTCCTTTTATTTCCTGATTTTCCAGAGGCCTTACTGAATCCCTGGCAGGCTTCCTTTTTCCAGTGTACTCAAAAAACTTTTGATATCTCCAGCAAGTTGCTTCTAATATATATGCATGTTCATATGTCTATGTATGCATGTGTGTCTGTGTATATGTATATTGGGCTTGCCTTATAGTTTTACATTTAGAGTGCAGAGTATATGCTCATTTCTATTTCCCTCAGGCATGACTTCCATTTTTTGAATGACATATTTTTGCCTCTCCTAGCATCCTACATTGTACTATTTAACCATACTGGCTCTCTCTTTTTTTCTGGCCCCATTGCTACTCTTTTTATCTGTGGTATGCACTTAATTTGTGCCTTGAATAAGTTTTTCTTTTTTAATACCTCATGCTACTTGAAGATTTTAATTCTCTTGATGGTTGCTAATTGAAACCACTCATTATTTTTGTGTTCTCTGCTTCTGCAGCCTCTCTAATCTCCCTTACCATTTCTTGCTTACTGCCAAAATCCTGATCAGATTGATAATATAACCCCAGAAGTACACTCTTTTGAATTAAATGCTGAATTTCTACCCATGCAGATTTCCTGGTACCTCTTACCTTATTAGATTTAATGCTGTCTTTAACATAAAGTGCCAGTCCCCCATAGGTGCCAACTCCATGGGTGCTCTAGGGCTCAAACACCCACCAAAAAAATTAGCAGTGCTCGGCACCCATAGGCCATGGCTATTTTGGTGTTACACAATGCATGTTAGATCTGTGTTATGTTAAAAATTTTGCCCTGAAAGCAAGCTTTTAAAAGCTAGTACCAGTAAGTGACAGAAGGACATTATGTGGCTGCACAGGAAGGTGGAATTAGACCAGTGCATGGAGATTCATGGTGAGGTAGTGAACATGAGTAGGCCAGAGGTAGGGCCAAAGCACTCACTAGCAAAAACCAAAGTCAATGCCTATCCAATCCCCCACTCTGTATTACTTTTTCCATCATTCCTGTGTAGTTTGTACCCTTTAATTACAGTGTCGCATTGATATTTTTCATTCCTCCAGGTGTCAGAGATGCCCGTTGGGTCAACTGATATTGATAGAACACCAGTAGATGTAACAGGCATCCCTGAAAGCTATGCTTAAATAGAAGGCTCTGTGTATTTTTTCTGATCCAGGGTTTGTCATTTTATCATTATACTGTTTCAGATACTGTGCACAAAACACCTTTAAATGATTCAGTAATTACAAGTAGTATAGACAGCAGCAGATAGACCATTAGTCATGAACCTAAAGGTTGACCCTACATATAAACTGACTTGGATTGTTATGGTCCTCTTGGTAGCGGGGAGGTCAGCCTATAATAAGAACAATACAATAGTCACTAATTCCTTCAAGATAGTATCCTTTTTAATGTTTTCAAATTATTTCTGTATCTATATAATGCCCCCCAGAACTTAATCACTGAATTTAATTACTAAAGTTAATTATATAACAGAAATATGTTCCCTACTTACCTATGGCTGCCAAATATTTACCTGCATGTATGAATGTGTCCCATGCTCATAGTGAAACTCTTGAGATGCCAACCCTGATACAAGTAAATTAAACTGCCATTTCCAATGCTGCCAAGAGTCTGCAGCAGCTCCTTTTGCAGCATCTCTTATCAATCATTAGCAGAAAGGGCGCCCTAAGGAAGGGAGACTCAGGTCAGCTCTGCAGTGTGAGACCTGCCGGCAAGTTAATAGCAAAGCTTCTGTGACAGAAATACCTGAACTATAAACAGGTTAAGGGCCAGTTTTTCCCTAATGGAACAAAACAGAGCTGTAGGAGGGAATCACTTGGCGTCAAAGCCATCCTTTAAAAAATAGAAAGGTTGCAGAATAGAACAGAATATCAGTGACAGGAAGAAAATGAACATATGAGATGGAAAGGGAACATCAAGATTAAAGACAAGAGAAATAAAAGGAAGGAAAGCCCACAGAAAGGAGGGGCATAGCATGACTATGGATGAAGCCTGCCATAGAGAGAAAGGATATGCAAGAAAAAACAGAGAAAATACATGTATATATCCTGAAGTACACATTTTGTATGATTGCAAATACTTCTGCAAGCCTCTTCTATTTTAGCAGTAGGAAAAAGGTGGGGTATCTTTTGACTGGCTAGTTTTTGTTCTGTTTTATTTTGCCTGTGAAAAGCACAAAGATTAAAATAACACTTCAACTTAATGGAATTCATTAAACAAAAAAAAATCCCCACCTGAATTAAAGTCGTGTTGTTTGATGTTGAGTCAGTTTTTGGAAGCTGTGGGTGTCCTTTACCTGAATCAGTACCTGAAATATCTCTTTCCAAAGGACAAAAGTAGCTGCTACCTATAAAGCCTTGCCCTTTAGGGCCTTGTTACACATTGTATCATAGAAGTAGGGTCGGAAGGGACCTTGTAGATCTTCATGTCTGAGCCCCCGCCTGGGCGG